GCACAGAGTGGGGACAGCTCAGCGGGACGTGCTGAGGGACACACATCACATCCCCAAACTCTGCGCCCAGTGCCACCGACGGGGGTACGAAGGAGCGAGCCGGCCCCAGCTCCGACAGGAACCAAAAACCCAGCGGTTCCCCTGCCCCGCTGCCACCGGGGCCACACAGCCAGCCTGCACCAGGGACACGGGGCTGGCACCACAGCGGCCACCGCTGGGAAGCAGTGCCAGTCCCGCCTGGGAGGGATGAGGCGATCTAAGCTGCTGCCTGGAGCATCTCTCGGGGACCATTTCAATCAGCTCTGTTGTTCCCCCGGCAGCAGCAGAGCCGGGGTGGAGGGACGGCCACTAGAGCCGCCTTGTCTGCCTGTGCTCCTGCCCCAGTCACCACCAAGGGTGACAGAGACACTCTTCACAGCTGCTTTTGTCCAGGGGGACAGACAGACAGTAAACTGAATCTTTTGCTCTTCTGAAAACACCGAATGTGTAAACTAGAATAATTTTTACCTATTGCTTTTGCTCTTGCCTGCATCAAGTCGCTGCTATCAGGGACAGAGCAGTGGGGAATCCTGCAGACTACTACGGACCACCATTAGGTGCAATCTTAGCTGCACCTAGGTGCCCCCAAAAACCTTGATCTCTACATCTGAGCTTGCTGGAAACAGGCTGGAAGCTCAGGGTGAGGGGACGGACAGCTTGTCCTAACCCGCAAAGACACCATGCCTGCTCTTACCACTGTCCTCCCCAGCACAGCTCCTCCCCTGGAAGGCTGTGAGGTGCTGCTCGGCTCTGGGAGCCCAGTTTGTCCCAGTCCCACTGTCCCTTGCCTCACCACTCCACACCCAGCTCCCCGGGGCTGGGCAAGGTCTGAGAGTTGGGGTTTCCCCCTTTTGCAGAGACTGCGGAACCAGGATGCCGGCTCGCACTGAAGAGATCACCGGGGTCGCAGCAGGAGGTAATTCCCCTACCCCATCTCATTCCTCTCCGACCTGCTGCTCCCACCACAGGCTCTCAGAGACAGCCTCCCTCTCTTGCAGCTCTGGCTTTCTCCTCCACAGCGGGACTGCACTAGGATCTCCTCCCGGATGCTCTCGCCACCCCGTGCTTGCCTTTCTCACACAGCTACGCAGTCCACTCACTCGACAGCTTCCTGCCCAACTTCCTTCTGTTTCCCCCCATCTCCAAACACTGCGGGAATCTACCGGCTTTGGAGTACAGAGGCAATTTAAGTTACATTTGGAAAAAAAAAAAAAAAAAAAAAAGAAAAATATCTACCTTAACTGAACCAGAAAGATCTTTCTGCACGTATCCAACGTATCCAACCTACCTCTAAAAGCTTCTCCTAGGAACCAAGAAGTTCTTTCTGGTTGTGCTACTCAAAACCACCTTGCCGTGCCTAGAAGGCAATTGTTGTACCACAGAATATCCCTCAGGTGGAGTAAAGAGGATCTGAGAGCCACTACCTGGACACAGGGACCTGCAAGCAGTGAGCTGGTGCTGTTCAGCTGCGCCAGCAGCAGTCCTTAAGTCCCATAGATACCTGGGAGCGCGTGGGGAGTCTGGGGTAGCATGCTGCTGCGTACGGGTGGACAGTGTTACTCTGAGCATTTATTGCACTGCTTCAAAGAGGTGGAGGAGGAAGAGGAGCGAGAGAAAGCGCAAGTCATCGTTTCACTTTAGCATCTTCTTTGATCTTCCAGACCATCAGCTCCATGCAAGCTCTGGCATCCTCACTGGAGTCGTGCCCTTCCACTGGGGACAGAGAGATAAGGAACGCAGTTACCACCCGGGCCCAGGCAGCCCCTCTGCTGCCCAGGGACTGCCGGTTCACAGCACGAAGCTCAGCAGAACGCTTCCCGAGACCAGGTCCTGCCTGACGCTGCCGGCCCAGCCGCGCACTGCCCTCTGCCACAGCAGCCACAGGGGCATCTCCGATCACCGTGAACCACAGCGGTGTATTTAAAGTAGAAGAATTTCCACTAAATGCATTTTTTTTTGCTGGACTTCAGCCCCGACACTGTTCCCTTGTTTAAATTAAGGGCTGAAGTCCTGTTAGTCTGTAGGCCCTCAGGCTATGGAGTAGCTGGTCAGAGAGGCCTCAATTTCCCCAGCAGTATGTTTACAACGTACTCAAGGAAGAAGGAAAGGAACATGCCATGCTTCAAACAGAAAGGTCAATCTCAGTTTGCCAGAGAGAGAAGGGAGGGCATGACCTGGCCTTGACAGAGCTACCTCTGGCCTTCTCACACCACTTCTCTGGTCCCCACTTAGCACAGAGAGGGAAGAAGCAAATACCGCTGACCCTCAGAACAGGGTTCAGACTGAAACTGTCTCACATGTTGGTCCATTCACAGCTACTGCCAGACACTACGCAGGAAGGAAAGATCAGGAGCAAGAGGATGGGGCTTGGGGAGAGCAGAGGAAGGCAGGTCCAAGGAGCCCACAGCCAGGTGGGACGGGACACGAGACCCTCACTCTCAGCTCCTCTTTGCTCTCACCATTGTCCTGGATGATGCGCTTGAGGTAGTCTGCCATCAGCGTGCGGAGAGCCCGTTTGTAAGGCAAACCCAGCCGGTGGGGAAAGACGATCGCGGTATCCACCACTGTGCCATGGATAAGCTGGAGGGAGGGAGCAGGAAAGAAACATGCTTATTTTCCGTCTCCCACAGGGACGGACACTCCTTAGGATTAACCGTGCTAAAGCAATCTTCCGGTCAGCCTCTTGGGCTCTCTGTAATGCTATCACCAAGCTCCAACCCAACCAGTCTTGCAAGAGGCTCTGGCTGAATCAAAGATGACTCTCCCTTAAATGGCGTGTGCACACTTCCCCGTGCTCTGCCAGCCAACACACCTCCCCTCAAAGCCCCGCCTAACCACACATTCAAAAGCAGCAGAAATTCAGGGCTAATTCAGTTTGTGTAACTCAAACAACAGGACAGGTCAATCCTTAACGCCCTGGCCTGGAGAAGCTGGCATACCTCTGAGAGTGTCTTGCACAATGGACAAATCAAGCCAAGAAGCCAGTTGACCCTACAAAGCTTGTAACAGCCTTTCAAGTGCTTCTCAAGTTGTGAACTGAAGTGGGAAGGATGTGCAAGTCAAAACTCTACCTAACCCATTTTACATCACACTGCTTCTACAGAAAAGGCTCAACCTTCAAGGTGCAAACCAACCTGAAAACTTCCAGTCTGTCAGCAATGAGTCAACAGGAAGTTTTTAACCCGCACCAGCTTAGCAAGGATGAAATGGGACATGGTGATCTTGTACTTCTGGGTAAGGAACTTACCCAGGAACTTACCCAGTAAGGAACTGGGTAAGGTAAGTACAAGGTGATCTTGTACTTCTGGGTATAAGGAACTACACAGCGGAAGGGGAGGCAGGCCCTGGCCGGTCCCACAGTCAGGTCAAAGTGCCTGGGCACACAGGAGAGGCAAGAGGCTTGCTGTCCTCTAGGTACGAAGTGTCATCATGCCAGAGGAACTGAAGATGCTGAACAGGTCAACATGCTACCTATCCTGCACAGCTGACGGAGCCCATAAACATAGGGTAAGCTGGTGTCTCTTAAATACTAATTTTTTTTACTCTCAGGCTAAAACAAGATTAATCCTCTGTTGCCAAGAATACGTGTTCAGTGAGAGCTAAAGGAACGTGGATGAAGGCAATCCCACATCACCAATACAGGAGTAAAATGCAAGGTCTAAGGGATAAACCTGTATGCCTGACCAAAAGACAGCTCTGCAAGTCTTGACCCAGCATGACTCAGACAGGACCCTGATAATCCCATCTCGTCATTTGCCTCGACTCTTCCTAGGCACCAGCTAATGCTGCGTGACAATCCGTAACTTCATCATTAATAGTTTCATAGCCCAGCTCCGTAAATGCCTGAGAACAGCTGCAGTTTAACAGAAACAACCTGCTACGCTCTTTGGAGTATAAAACTGCCAACATTATGGATAATCTCTCCTAGACTGCAGTGAAGTTTGGCACCCACCCAGGCACAATGATAATTACTTATGTAGATCAGGAAGACTGAGGAAACAGGATAATATAGCTTTAAATAAAAATTGAAATGCTATCACCATTTGGAGCTTGCCACAGCCATTAGCGAGATGTCGACTTTACTGCCGCAGCCTTCAGACATTACGACTTGACATGCCAGTGCCTGTCACGCTCTGCTATATTGCTCTCGGGTTCGTTCTCTTGGCAGTGTCTGCGATGCTAAGAGAAAATCATGCCTTTAAGAGGCCAACGCAGTCATCTTGTGCTGATAAAACTGTAAATAATCTTTTTATGATGATGATGAACTCTCTGAGAGGCTGGGATAAAGGGTGCCATGGAGAGGTAAAGCGCTTCGCAGGCATTAAAACCTCCTGCTTCCAAACCACCGCCGTGAGCTGGCAGCCACAGCTTCTTTATCAAAGGAGTTGCACGATAAAGAATGGCTGAAGGAAGTTCTGGCTCTTGAGCAAACACTAAAGACTCAGCTCCTGCCTGCCACACGCTTTCTTGGTGACCCTGGACAAGCTCCTGGGGATCTACGTTCAGAGTGCAAGGGGAGAGGACAGCCCTCCCTCGCAGGACAGCAGAGCTGGTTGAGGTTAGGCTGACGAGGGCCAGGCAGGAAACAAGACAGATGCAAGGTCAAAACAGCTTGATCAAAGTAACGCCACAAATCACAGCAAACCAGGCGGAGAACTTCACTCAGAGAAAACAGACACCTCAACATTAGAAGAGAAACCATGAGAATTATCTCCAGTGCCAGAGCCAAGGAAGAGGCTTGTCCTGTTTCTGAAATAGTTACCGTGGACATCCAGAGGGCACAGGGGACCCCAGAGCCTGCCCTGTTCGTGCCCTGACCCTGGCTGAGCACATCTTCAAGCCAGTCAAAGGATGCTGACACCAACAGAGGATTCTCAACTATATGTCAGGGGTGAAAGGACAAGGATTCGAGATCAGTCCTTCCGACCGTCCCTGCTCTAGTCACCCTCCCCAGTCACCTCTAGAGAGGTCTGGCACCCTGGGCAGCACCAGTCACTAAAAGCTGGGGTGACACCACAAGTGACACACACAACCCACTCCCTTGCTCTCCCATCACAGACAGCTTCCCACTGGCTCAGAGACAAGACAGATCTACTGTGTCCTCCTGGTTCTTGGAAATAAATAATTCCTAAATTTACAGAAGACATGTAACGCACATCAGGGTGGGAAAGAAACAGAGAGAGATGTAAATGCAAGTCATGCAAGTTACCTTTAGTGCAAATAAGTCGCTTTCCAAGCTGTGCCCTATCAATATAGTATCTGCACTGAACATGTTCAGTAGGACGGCTTGGACATCCCGCAGGGTGATACTAGTGTTCTCCAGGTCCTCTTCTGTCACACCTGAGAATCTGCAGAGCAAGAGCAGAAAGGAGGCCTTCCTTCACCAAAGGAACATCTCAACACCCAAAGCGTCTCAGCTATTAGGAAGTGGTGGTTGACGGAGTTTCAACAAGTGCTCCCCCCTAAGTTCCTGATTCTGAGCACAGATCACTGACGCAAGTAAGACCATCCTTACCTGGTGTTGTAGTCCACCACCTTGGTGTCCGGTTTGACGAAGGTGTCGTATACCACTTTCAGGTCAGAGTTGATCACAGTTACTCTTGTCAGCTCCAGTCCTTGCTTGGTGTAGCACTGCAAGCGACAGAGCAGACGTGAAGACAAGCGTATGCCAACCCCAGCACGGTATCAATGGAGCCGTTCACCAGAGTGCTGCAGCTCCCAAAATGCAGCACATCTAGAGTAGCAAGGCCAGCCAGCAAACACTGCTCAATATCGGCCAGCTAGCTACAGCTTTTCAAGGGTGCACACCATCCCCAAATGAAACACATATTGCTAAAACTAATTAATAAGAGCTAATTTAAACATAAAGGACCAACACGATTTAGATTCCACAGCAGAAAGGAAAGAAGATGGTAGGAAAACAGAGCTCTCCTTCAGCCACTTGTATCACACCTTTGCCTTCCCCAAAAAGCTTTATTTTGCTTGTGCGTTGCCCCTGTCATTAAAGACCCACCATTTCACAGTCTAACGCGTAGATTCCAGGGTAGCCATCAGTCGTAGGCAACTTCTCGAAAGTCTTCACAAAGCCATCAAGGCTCTCCTTTCGTCCGTCGTGGACATGTTGCTTAAAGAAAAAAAAATAAAGGGGACAATTGTTTGTTGATGGGAGGAATAAGAATCCAAAAGAGTCTACTTCAACAGAACGTCCCGCTTAAACAAAAAGAATTTTTGTTATCGTTTCTAAAGTTTAATGAGGACTAAGTTTTGCGAACCAGTCAGTTTGAGAAGGTCACCGCAATAGCAAACACAGCCAAGTGCAACCCCGATTCCAAAGCCAGATCACGGCTAGTGGCACCATATTGACAGCTCATGTGGGAGCAACGCGTCACACATCTAGGGTCAAGTTGCTTTCCACTTTCAATTCACAGTAGAATTACTCAGAAAAGGTCACAACTGAGGTCTTACACTGATCTAACTCCAGCTGTTGGGTCCTGATTTAGCTTGTGGCCAAGCCATGCCCAGGTGCAGGATTCTAATCCCAGACATCCCTGTTTGAGCATTGGCATCAGGTGTATTACAGCCCACAGACGGCATGGGAAACTGGTGTAGTGAAGTACCAGGAAATGTCAATGTGTGCACGCAAATAAAAGCCGCTGTATTGCAAAACCAGACAGTTCGCAGACAAACAGAAGCTACTGCCTACCAGCACTTGAGGCAATAAATAGACCATATTTCCAACCACTCTTCATTATCCCCAGCTAAAGCTCCAGGGTCAACAAGATCCAGCACAGAAGAGCTCCCTGAGCCAGAAGGAAAACTCAGGGAGTGATTTCACAAGTGGCTTAAGGCAACACAAGACTAAGCTGCTGCTGCAACAGGCATTCCCACTCTCTTCTCCTCCGCAGCCACACATCCCACCCTATTTGGTCAGCCTGAAAGCCTTCTTTGCAGGGGGAGTATTAAACTGGATGATGGCACTGATCCGGTTACCTGCACCACTGCACCAGTGGGGAGGAGGAACACGGAATCAAGGGCAAGGAGAGACTGCAAATGCCCTTTTGCCCCCTAACATGGTTTTAGGTCAAATTAAACGGCTGTATCACACGGAGAGGTGACACTCGCCCTCCCCTATTCCCCAGTGGAGTTTTTTGTTTTGTTGAAGTTTTGTCTGTCCCTAAGTTTCAACGTATTTGCGCACAATCACAGCAGCCCGTGTACAGCCTCCTTCATCCTGCTTCTCAAAGATCTCACCCAACACGGAATCAAACTGTACTTATTCGTCTCAGGACAGAAAGGCTGAAGAGATGAGGAACTGAAGCACTTGTAAAGCTGAAACCTGTAGGCAGAGGGATAACCAAAGCAAGGATTTGCCTATTTTCCTGCACAGGTTATTACTGCAGGTGCAGCCAGAATACACAAAACCACATTATTTGGAGTGAACGAGGCAGCCGGGCCAACACCAAGTCCAATCTTTCCTGGTATCCAAAGCCAGCACTGCTCAAAGGTGCCATGGTTTGTTGCTTCCCAGGAACAAGAGGCCACACTTGTCCATTCTGCATTTATGGCCACAAATCTGACTGTTTTGCTAAAGAAATGGGTAGAGCAGATTACCAGGCCAACAGATGGTAAATATTTCTCTCCCTTGCAGCTTGATCCCTTCCCTCCCTCTGTAATACAACAGAACCAGGCAGTGAAGGAAAGAAAAAAAAAATTAGGTGTTTTTCTACACTAACTGATATTCTGCAACTGTCCAATTCTTCCTTGCTGAGAGGAAGGAAGAAAAGTTGCTTCTGTTTTTCAGAGCAGAGAAAGAAGCAGACTCAGTTATCACAAAGCCCAGCAGCTCCAGACTCCTTCGCTCCTGGCGAGCGGTAGGTACGAGCACAGCTCCATCCTGCCATCTCCTGCCACACCGGCTAACTGCAGCATAATCCAGACAGGCACAACCCAAATGTATTTGGAAGGAAAAGACACAGACATGCTTTTCTAACGAGCTACGGATCTAGTTAGTTAGAACAGTTTCTTATTACAAATATTTGCTGTTTCCAATGCCGTCCTTCAAAGCTAAAAGATACTGTGCTCCCCAAGAGCCCAAAAAATCCCAATATCTCACTGCGTACTCTCATCCGGAGCAGGCTGTGGACTCCAACCTTCAATCTACCAAGGATGCTGTGAGACTCACACATTTGGATGAGAAACCCAAGAACGCCAGAACACAGCGATCTGTAGCAGCACAACAACTAGGAGGCAGATGCGAAAGGATGCCTAAGCCCTGGAGCACTGGTGGCATGCTTCATTGAGTAACAGGCTATTAGAGAGATTGTGTGCTTCTTAAAAGGCCGTGAGGTTTTATGGTCTACAACAGCCATGCAAAAACATGCAGAGAAGTCGTGTTTTTATAGCCCCATCAATTTCTCCTGGCTTCCCTGCTGGATGGTTTTTTTTGGAACACTGATTAAAAAGAGATGCTAATTTCACATGGAAAAGAAATAGAAGTAGCAGCCTGCCTGTTCCCATCCGTGCTCCAGGCTGTGCAGGGTGCCCGTACAGACAACGCACCCTATTATTTTGACAAGCCTTGAATTTTGCCCTAGAATTCACTTCCTAGCTCTAGCTTTTGGCCAGAACAAGAAGGGCACACACCTCCCCAGAACCTACAGTGAGCCTCGCTGGCCGTGTATCGCTTGAGGTCCTTCAAACAGTGGGACAAGAACATGCCTTATAACGGGTATGTTCTGGGAGCCCCTTCCACTGGACGTGACCCTTTTAGATCCCCTCCCACTTAGTTCTGCATCACGCTCCTCTCCCCTGCATGGCAGCTGCCAAACATAAAAACACTGAAACAAGTGACAAGGAGAATTCCCAGAGACCCAAAGAGGCAAAAGACGGATTGTTCCCTTCAGTCAATGGTTTGAGAGGACAATAAATGCCAGGCTGCGAAGCCAACTCTCCTGTTGCCTAAAGAAAAAAAGTACCCGCTCAGAGGTATCCCAAACAGTGTTCAGTTCTAACAACGGGTCAAAACTCCATTCCTGAGCAGGTTTTTCATTCTGCTTTCTAGTGCTGGGATCCCTTCCCCACCCCCCTCATCAAGAGAAGTAATATTTATGAGTTACAACAGGCTCCTTGGGAAGATTCCTCCCCTTAATACAACAAAGAGCATGCAGTAAACAGAAAACTAAGAAAAGATTTGGCCTACAGCAGAAAGTTACCTTAGCACAGGCATCTGGGAAAGGAAAAACTGGGGAAAAGGTTTTGGCATGCTGTTGTCAAGGCCCTGAGACTGCTCTTTAAAAGGAAATTCCTTATTTCTCACTTCCTCAATGTTTCCCTAAAGAAGGTTGTATCTGAGCTTTTGCTGGGCAGCTTAGTCCACTGGCATTTGCTTAGAACAAATGAAACCACCTCACTCCAAACAGCTGAGTCTCCTCCGTCCTGCCAAACATTGAATTGTCTACTTTTGCATAGCAAAAGATATTTAAGAAGTATTTGTTTTCTTCCCTTTAAGGGAAGCCACCATTCTTCTAAAGGCTTAAGCAACGATTATACAGCCATCACCACTGTAAGCAAAGGACAAATGTCATCGAGAATAAAAAGGTGTTGCTCAATGACTTACTTTAGCAACCTGGCAGCCTGGTGAACCCACAGCTCCTGAGCAGCAGCTGTAATGAGTTTCCCATCCACCTGGCACTGAAAGAACAAGAGAGAAGAGTCAGAGAGAAGGGTCCTGTTCACAAGATACCTAAACTTTAGCTCTCACATGCAGAGATAGCCTGGATGAGCACAGCAACAATAACGTGTCAAACAAAGGGGAAAAATAAGTATGGTTTCGCACGCAGCAATCTAAAGAGTTTAAGTCTCAGCCAGACAAACTCCAGAAGCCACCTGGATGCTCTGATGGAAAACCAGAGCAGAGCTCAAACAAGGTTAGTGTCTGGCTACAAATGAATTCAACCAAGACCAGTAAACTCTCCTGGGCAGCGACAGACATCTAGTGCTCCCAAGTTAGCCTCCTAAAAAGACTCGATTTTTTTCCAAAAGGCACAGGAAGGTTTGTTGTTTTTTTCTTCTTTAAGCAAAGATGAACAACCTCTGCTCCAGCCCCAGAGTCACATTTTCGGGCCAGTACCACTACTCACCAGCAGCTCTTTGCAAGACTATTTCAGCAGCAGTGGGGCCACCCAGTGACAAAACTAGGAACTGTCACAATCTGGGAGTATGACAAGCCCCAAAAGCCTCAAAATGTTCCACAGCAACTCAAACCCGAGGTGGACTCTGTGTTGGGAGCTACGGCACAGCTACCATGTGACTAAGCCCTCTTTGAAGAGCTATACCTCTCTGCTTGCGCAGCCTTCCCCAGTGATGGACACACTCCTCTTTGCGAATGCAGTTTCCAGAGGCTGAGACCATGTACTCGGTGCCACAGCGACAACAAATCCTACAGGAGGCTTTAAGAGAAGAGAGAAGCAAAAGTCAGGTCACCAGAAATCCTTCACCTGCTAAACTTGGCCAAAGCACAAGTAAATCAGAATCATTCAAACCCCAAACACCGGTCAAACAACTTCTGTTAAAAAGGATTCCAGATGTTGTTTTAAACTCCCATAAAGACACAGCAGTCCCTCTGGACATGCAGCCCTGTAGCATTTGCTCCCCCAAACACTTCTCGGAGGCACACATAAGACTCCCCAGTGGTTTTGGTGGGCAACATCACCTCCAACACAGTTCACATCAACATTTGCTGCATTGTTTCTCCATCCACAGCAAATTACGTTGTACTCTAACACAGTTATTTTAAGAAACAGGATAAATAAGTCATTCTTTGGACATCAGAGCTAATGAAGCCTTGTTTCCAGGGGATCTGTGCCTTGTCACTTCTAAATGACTTTCGAGTTCTCCCTGGGCACAGCTTTTCTGCAAGGATTCTCCAGCATCTGAAAATGGGAACGCTTACAGCACAGCCTGGCCCACCGAGACGGCAGTTACGGACTTCTTCCTCCCATCGCCTGTGCTTACAATTCAGAGAAGGGAGATGCAAAAAGCCACAGTAAAGGAGTTCACTGTCATGCTTCTGATGTCCATGCAATCCCCTGAGTTCTAGTGTGATCATTTAAGCTGCTAGCACATTCCCAGCTCTGCATAACACCAGTCTAGACCATTTTTGTCCACTGACCATGGTTGCAGCATTAACAGACTAGCAATAGCTTTAGTTAAGCACAAATGCAAAGATCCTGCAACATCTGCAGAAACTACAGAAACAGGAACATGATCTCAGAATCATATAAAGGAGCTAGCCGGTTAACTGGAGAAAAGGGTTTTAACAAATACAGTACTTGACAGTGTTGATGCAAGAGAGCTTTCGTACAGGTTGTTTCAGCAACCACAGGACAAATGTAGACACAAGGTGTTAACACGGATGAGCACTTAACACACTTTAGCAAGGTCTCTCCAAAGAGACGCTCAGAGGAGTGTGGCAAGGCACCTCAAAGTACACCCTAAGTACGTGTTTCATCCCTGCTGCATCACAGCCTGCTCTAATCAGCATCTGAGAAGCATAAATCCTGATACAGGAGCTCAGAAAATTCAGACAGAAGAGGACCCCACCCTGTGCTGAGGAAACCTAGAGGATTGTTTTGTCCAGTTGCAAAAAGGGCTTTTGGGAACTACTTGGCCCAGAGCTGTCAAGAGATCAAGCAGAAAACTGCAATCTAAACCAGCAAGGCATGACCCACCACAAAACCAGCCTGGCCCAACGTCGGTCCATATCCCACCCTAACAGCAGTTCATATGCACAGAGACACAAAAAAATCCTTCCCCTGGAAGAGAAGAGCATCACCAGATGCTAAACAGGAGCCTCTTTCCAAGCAATTCCCTTGCCACAGCAGCAGGCAGCCTCCAGGTTAGTGCAACGAAGTTGGAGTCAAAACCTGCACTGAGTGAGCAAGAGCAAAACACATGCCCTCGCGGGGGGTGACCGAAGGCAGCTCGTCCAGGGAGGCAACGCGGACCAATTCATATGCTTTGGCAGCAGTTAGAAACCTCACTCAGCCTCACAGCCCCACACGCCACAAACTATAAAGCTTGTGTCAAAAATAACACACTCATAACACGCAAGCTGAAGAAACTCGTCCTCTAGAAAGGCAGCAGACTTCTGTAGCCACACTCCTCTCCTCTGCGACAGGCTGTCCTGCAGAGACAGCGGTCACAGCCAAGAGACCCATCACAACAGGAGCAAATGGCTCCACGCTGAGACCGAGAACATCTTTATGCAAAAAGACCACCTGCAAGCAGGACAGGCGTCTCCAGTTGTGATATATCTAGCAAACCTTGCGGAATGGAAGAGCCAGCAGAGCTTACAGTCAATCGTTTTCTTCTCCTCTGCAGTGAAGAGGACAGCGCGACCAGGCTTCTCTGGGTGAGGCATTGGGTAACCATTTTCCTTTAACTGCTCCTCAGTCATGAGATACTCCTTTAGTCGCCGGTACAAGGCGGCTCCTGCACACAAAGACAACGCTGAAGCCAGATCACTTAAGAAGGGGCTGTTTCTCTTACTGTTTTTTGCTTAATCAAGCCTCCTGGCAGGGACTCCCACTATTTTGAACTTGCTTCCACTGACTTTGTTCAGGATTGGCATGGAAATAGGTGTCAGGGCAGTATTTTATTTAAAATCTTGTCATTGGTGCACAAGCTGATTTTTTAACCTCTTCAATAACCAGCATTAAGGTTGGAAAACACAGCTGAAACAGCATTCCTCCAAAGAGTCCATCTTCAGGCCTTTTTGTTACCAATGTGAGCCTTCTCCCATTTTCATGTTTTAAATGCTTAAACTGATAATTTGTAACACAGCCCAAAGAATACCCCTCAAAGGCCACCCACAGCTAGCTAAAAATTCATTATCAGAAGCTTTCTTCCTGCTGTTGATTTCAGGCTGTTCGTTTCATTTCACAGAATAATGATAACTTCTTGCACTCTGCTCAATATCTCTTCTTTGGCTGCTACGTTAAACCCTTCCAATATCGCTGTGCACCCTTTGATGTTGCTTAGCTGAGCTATACAGGCCCTTTTAAGCTTTCTCCATGTCAATTCCTTCTGCTCCGTGGCTTCCTCGTCTCTTCTCTGATCTCCTCAACAGTTTGCCTACATCTCTTGGCAACCAAAATACCCATAACCGATTTGAGCCAACATGAATAATGCTTGTGGCACAATCCTTTGGCTACGATATGACCTTATTATGACATTCGAAAAGGTGAAAATGAGCTCTGCAGAGCAGATGGAGATACGGGTAAGTTTGCCTTTTAATCTGACAGGCACATTGTGAAGGACTGCTTCAGGGCAAGAAAGTTAAAGTAAAATCCAGACAAAAATAAAAGCCCAAAAGTCAGTAATACTCAAAGCACAAGAGGCAGCTCTGAAGAGTTACTGATGCTACATCAAAGCCACACAGACTACATCAGTGGACGCACAGCCCAAAGCGGGGAAGTAAGGAAGGCGCTGAGGAGTGGCGTACCATTCACCGAACAACTCTGCAGCACGGTACTGCAGTTAGGTAATAACTCATAACAGTGGCCCGCAGATAAATCACAGCACTCCACGCATCAGCAAGATCCTGCTCTCCCCAGTCACAGCGTTATACCTCCAGCTATAATTTATGGGTTACAGCCTCGCAGGAGCAGGGTCTTACCTGTTAAATCCTCTGCTCTCAAGCTCCCTGACCGGTTTAGAGTAAAGCTTGTCTTAGCAGCAAGCTTCCCTCCCAGCACAGCTTCGTGGGACACCACTTTCTTGTTACTCGTCTCTGCAGTGAGAAGAGGGAAGAAGCAAAACAGGAGAGAGATCAGGTACCCAGCTGAGTAAGAGTAAGTGACTTCAGCCCTACAGTTTGGGCTACTACGCATTGGCCAAAGGAGGACTGCATTATTCCTCTTGAATTCTTGCTCTGCTCCAGAAATTGGCACAGGTGAGGTGGTGGCCTAGCATTTTCATTCCAGCACTATGAGGAGCTTTCTGTTTGCACTGGCAGCCCACAGCAACTTTTTTTATTTTTTTTTTAAGGGCAGCAAGGACATTTTTACAGTTCCCCTGGAAACTCTGGTAGCTCTACCTGCTTACTCCACACAGCAAGCCTTCCTCCTGACCAAAAGCAAGAAAGGACTAAGGCACAGAAGCGACTCGACCCAGTCGTGTGCTGCACGGTGGGATCACCCACCCGCAGCGAGCAGCTTTGTTGTTTAGCTCCCCGCAGACGAGACTCCCACACTAAATCTCTCAACTTCCTTTAGAAAGGAGCTTCAGAGCTCTAGAATATGCTCAGCACATCAGATAATGGCAGATAGGTGCTTTTTACTAATCATTAACTGGCAGCCCTCTCCTAAAGGCCAGCCTCCCAAGTTCAGCCGCTCTGACTAATGGCCATGAAGGTAATGAAGACAGAGGGGAGAAAAGGGAAGAGACCGGGGAAAAAAAATTCACAAGAACAGCACAAATTGATTGTTTAATGTACCCTCTCGAGAGCCAATAATGAAATGTCTTAACCCTCTTCGTTTCTCTCTTGAAGCTTAATGTGTGTAACAGATTTCTGCGGTGATGGACGAGTCTATCACTTTGAAGGCATCATGTGAAAGTTACTCCATTAGCGGGGCTTTTCATTTTAAAGAACTTGTGCTAAAAAAAAAAAAATCCATGTGGCATTATCTCCATTTAGGTTCAGACAGCCAACAAAGCATTGCAGGACTTGCCTCTTGAAGGCCCATTAAAGCTTGCCAGACTATAAAAAGCTAACTGGAGTTGTTTGCCTTTCAGCATAATGCTTCTGAGAAATGGGTCTGTCTTTTCAACAAGTTCCTCTCCATGGCTTCTAATCCAAGCAGGGCTCCGATTATTAAACCACAAACGTGGTACGTACTGTTCGTACTGGACGGGGAATTGGGCACTAGGCTTCGGAGCTTCTTTAAAGTGTTCACTGCCACGTTCAGGTAGATGTTGCGACTGGTGCTACGTTCATAAGCCACCTTCTCTTCTGACAGAGCCTGCAAACAAGGCAATTCATTACTACATGCTCTCTTTCCACTGCTGCTTTTGGAGAAAAGAAACGTTTGGCTCTTAAAGTACAGAATCCAAGTATGATAGCAAAAAAAAAAAAATTGCCTGTCAAGGAATCGAGTAATAAAGAACATGGCACAAATATATACTGGTTCTGGGGCCTGCTTAGGAGAGCAAGAGAAAAAAATAATTGTATTTTAAACAAAGTGCTGGAAGAAGCATTTTCATGTGAAACCTTCCCTGACAGATTAACAAGGCAGTTCTGGAACTGCCTGGGAAAGGCTGTTTTCTCCTCTTCGGTGGCAGTGCAAGATCTTAACTGGCAAGAAAAGGAAGTTTGGCAAACGGTCACTGCTTGGATGCGACGGGAACATTCCCCTGAGGGAGCTGTGAAGGCAAAATCCCACAAAAGAAATCCTTGTGGCATCTGTTTCGGTTACAAAACACACCACACAACGTCCCATATGAACCCATCTAACATTAATGGCTAAGGTTTTCCAATAAAATGCGTTACTTTCTCAACTCTGCTTTTGGAAATCCTACTACACTATTTCCTACTGCTAGAAGGCTCCTTAAAAGCCTTGCAGTTCACAAGCAGCAAGTTTTACTAACTATATCTACCTCAAACACTCAGCTCGGCAGTTAGATTCCAGGAGGTGTTTGCTGCTGTACCTGAGCAAGCGGCCCTTTTGTCCAGCTTCACCATAACACCCGCTCTCCTAAGTCCCTCTTCTGGGGTTATTAAAAAGATCATGCAATCTTTCCGAATGCAGGGAAAGGTGGGATTTCCTACTGGAAACCCCCACGGAATTACACTTTCTGTTGCCCAGTCTGGAATTATTGAATGCCAGTCTCCTCTATAGAATTGTGTGTGGATAGGAGAGTTCTCTGGGTTTGCTGCAATTTTAGGAGGTCTCAGCCGTGTTATTCTCTGCTGCAGACTTTATTCGTAAGAAGCAAGCACCAGTACAGACCTTGTCAAATGCTTCCTGGGAAGAAGAGCAGAATTTCAGGCACTCATCAATGAAGAGGTTGAGATATCGTTGACGAATGTTTGTTGGGACTTTAGCACCAAATTCTGTGGGAATAACAGGCCTCTGTAAGCTGGCGCTCTAAAGATGAGACAGAGAGAGAGAGAGAGACAGAGGCTATTCAGGGTTTATTGAGACTCTCACATTTCCTGCTATGTTGTTAATAGTGGCATGACTTCCTTTCTGAAAATCTGCCCAAAGCTAAACATAATATGCATCATTTTTGGTACTAAAAATGCCACTTGAAGGTTTTATGCCACCTTCAGTATTTGAACTACTTCAAAAAACAACCGTGTTTCATTATGCAACTCATCCAGCAGCCAAGGACTCCCAGCAGCATTAGTCACAACACTACATTTACACATATGAGCATTCCTGACCATGAAAATGATGACACTTACATTAAGGGATTCAAGATTAGGATGGTACCAAGCGCCACACTTGGAATTGGAGACGTGAACGCACAGCACCAGTTATGTGCATAACAGACATGGTTTTCTTTCCCGTACTGTGGCTGTGAAGAGAGAAGGGGAGGCCCACTCTGGCCAGGCTGGTAGCCAGCTAAATCATCACACTTTCTGTGGGATTCCTGTAACTTTACTGCATTGGGTTTTTCCTTCCTATTTTAATGCCAATCGTGATGCTCCTGAAAGGATTTACCCCTTAAATTGAATGACACCTTCCTCATGCATAGAAACTGCATGTTGGACAGAGTTTTTCCATTTAACACCAGTTTATCCAATAATCAACACAATTTGCCTCTTTTTTGGAGAAGAAACTGTCCATTCACCTCTAAAGCACCCAACTGTTTTGTCAGTCTTACTCCATCCCACCCAAGAAATATCCATAAACCAACCCATCTGCAGCAATCTGTAATAAAAAGAGCTCTACGGAAGCTATGGGCATGTTCAAAGGGGAGCAACTGCTCCCGTCTCAATGGGAAGAGAGCTCATTTTCCTCATAAGACTTCCATTTTGCTGCCCTGTTCAACAGGATCTGGTCCTTTTCATTACATATATTTTTTTTTTCCTCAACCTCTAATATGATACCCTCAAGCAGCTCTGTTCACACTGGTGACTACTTTATCCTTTCAGTTGTTTCTTTTATTTTTAACCAGCTTCAAGTTATATGTTACTGTGGTGGCTTTTCGGGTGGGGAAGGAAGAAAATGACTTTTCACTCCTCCAGAAATAATCAGAGTATGTTGTGACATATCTTGACACAAGATATCAAAGATATCTTTAATCAAGTCCTGGCACTAACCACATTCCTTGCCATCCACTCCAGCAAACAGCTTCTTATGCCATCCACAAGTCGCTACATGAGGAACTCTATTCTGAATTGTCTTCACAAGTAACACGTTCCTCAGCGCTCACAGGGAAAGGAGGGACTTCTTTGCTGAGGAACTCAGAGCAAAAGTACCCAAGGGCTGGGAAGGTATCCCAGAAAAATTTAAAAAATTGGTTTTTTCCTCAAACGTTAACAGCAGCATGAAGTTTAAATGATCACATTTTAACTATATAGGTCACCGTGGGACATTATTCATAATCACCATCCTCAGTATGGCCCACAAAGCCCAGGAAGGCCATTAATCCACCCATGCCTTCTGAACACGAGAGGCTCTGAGTCCCTGACACAAAGAGCTACACACCTAGCCAGACAGCACAACAGAAGACTTAAACTGAAGATGAGTGATCAATATTCAAAGAGATCAGAGCAGCACTTAAGTATTTCCATCTTTTTAAGCTCCTACCCCTCAAGTGCTTAATTTTTTATACAATGCTATCGAGGAAAACCACAGGAAGAAACAAACCCATTTAATCAAGCTAATCAAAGCACCAGTCTTCAGACAGTGCTAAGTTTGGAGCAGCACGGTTAAACATACCACCCTCAATGGGGAATGACCAGAAAGATTTCAAATTTCTCTTACCTGTAAGGAGGGAACGTGTGCTACCCTTTTCGGCACGATGGTGCTGGTGGTCTTTGAAGCCATTCCAGCTAAGGTGCAAGCCTTCAGAGAAAGGGTGGGTGCTTCAGAGTCATTGGAAGGTGTGACACTCCTGCCAGCAACTGTCGTCTTACTACTCACGAGGCCTGCAAGAAAGAGAAAACATATTTAGGTAGAAATCCTACCACTGGGCTTCACGTTGCCAGAATGAACTTACTACGAAAGACCCATGCTGCAAGCTGCGATTTTTTCTAATGGAAGCCTCCGAAGGGATACAAATTGGGTAATTTAACCACCTTCCAGGCAAGGATGAAGGAACCTTCTGCCAGGAAACGTGCTTCATTTCTGTTTGTTTCAGGGTAACTGAGTCAGCAGAGCTTAAAGAGGTAACCCTGTCAGCAAGAACGCACTAACTGCCCATCACGTCAGCTCTGAGTCCTTCCAACTACAAAGGGATACCACTGAGCATTAATTAGTACTTCCCTCCTGTTGGTGCTGCCTCTGAAGGTTTGAATGGAAGAGGGAACGAGGAGCAAACATGCTCCAAGGCAGAAACAAAAAAAGAAGAGGCTGAAGTGAAGGAAGCTGGGTGAGACAGACAGGGGAACAGGGCTGTACGTCTAGGCTGTTGCTTTTCAGAACAGGATGGAATTTCTCAGAGCAAAGACATTCCACTGGTCACTATCAGCAAAGATTCAAGTCATGGCCAACGCTACACATCTCCTGATAGTTTCACATCTGCTCGGGAGAGGTTTAAACAGAAGGCAGCATCTTTTAACAGGGGGGAGGACAGGACACGATCACAAATAACGCTGCTGGCTTACTTTGTTTGGCTGCTGCGGAAAGCGCTACATTTGGCACGTGAGCAATCCTCCTCTTTTCTCCTGGCAAAGAAAGAGAGGCCTTTTGAACGGCCACAGCCAGCTGTGCCGCCTGCTGCTGAGCCAGCTGGATCCTCTGGTAACAGACCTCCTGAGCGGTGGGGGGACGGTACGGCCGGATTACAGGCTTGCTCGGGACCTCTGCCTGCACAGACAAAAAGGGTTTAAGCCAGCACGCTCGCCTGCTCAATCCTCCCTCCGGCTTCCATTTACCCAAGAAAGGTCTCTTTTCCTCAATCCCTCTCTGTTAGCAAATACAAGTTTTTTAGAGGAGAAGATCCCAACCGTCTTCCAGAACAAAAATATTTAGAGTCACCCACCACGTTAACATCACTGACACGACGTTAATGATTTGCCCTCTGGCAAGGCCTCCCAGCGCTCCGGCATGTTCCTAAATTGGTAGGTGTTATGTGAACTGCTTGTTTAATGGCATAATGTTCCCCATCACTGTGCCTAACCCACTTCTGGACACTGTCAATACTCTCAGTTCTACTGTCCTGCGCTAGAAAATTAATCTTTCCCCGTGCTGCTTACTGCACGCTTCTTTAGTTTATATTGCAATGAAAAAGTGACCAACTGTTCTCCGTTCCCCTTTG